AATTGTTATCGTCGTTAGCGCTTTTATCGCGAAATAATATTAATACAAAATCGATTCCGTCGCTTTTGGAAACAATTTTCCTCTCTCATTTTAAGAAACTCGATAATGTTTTTCGTATAAACTGCGACTACGTGTGATGGAGCGACGATTATATACTCCGGAGGCAGAGATTGAAAATTGCGATGTGTGTCATTTTTTGCTTGTAATAACTCTTCGCAGACGAGAGGCTGCAAATGGTATGGGATGCAATTTGTTTCAGGCCATTGCCCATGCGGCTCACTTTCGGCACAGATATTAAATTACTATGCTTCTCTCTCCCCGACTGTAAAAGGCTTTTTGAAAAGTGTGCGTAATAAAGTTTACACTGGAGAGAGATTGCTTTTTAGTCTGGCTGCCGCAAAAATAGGAAAAGAAAGAAAGTGCGTGTCACCCGGCGGTGGTTGGATCGAGGCAAAACCAACCCCTTCCCCCTGGCGAGGGGCGAACGAATTTTTGTCACTGCGGAGCCCAACAAGATACTCGCTCTCGAATAGATTTTTCTTCCGCCAGTCAGTCGGCTGCATAATAGAGGCTGTCGCACGCCCACCGAGAGGTTAAGGACCTCAGCTACCTCCAATTTAATTTTCGATTATGTAGAATGAAATCGAAAATCAGTTTCCGATGATGGAACCGCCCGAGAGAATGAAATGGGAAACGGGTCCGACCACTGTGAAATTGCAAATTAGATGAGATTCTAAAAGTGGGACAATTTTCGGAAAGGAGAAATGCCGCGATTGTAAACAAGTTTGTCTTTTTGACCTAGGAGGATTTATAACATTATTGATAATTAAATTATTATTATTGTTGCTTACCTGTTTAAAGTAAACATCACATTTTTAAGATTCAATTTTTGATCAGATCTGATAATAATTGTTGTTAATTTCATAATCTCTAAAATATTGACGAAAAATACCATTTTTAATTAAAAATTTTACGCGAACCAAAATTATTCTTTTTCATTTAAAAATATTAATATTAAAGTTTCTTGCAGTAATACTGATTAAATTTTAAGTTATTATCTTTGTTATAAATGTATTTTAAATTATATATAATTATACTTAATATTATTTTCCTTTATATTAAATTAACCAAAAATATGAATTTTTTTAATACATTCTTTGCAATTCAATGATTGACATAAAACATAGACGATCATCTTTCTGCTGCAAATGGATATCTCGGAGTAGTATGGCTGCTTAACATGCTTCAATTTTTCTCACATATTTTATTGTAATTAAATGCGCCTTGTTCTTGTCTTTTAGTCTTTCAATATGAATCATTGGCGCTGATCCAGACTCAATTTTTCCATCTCCATTATTTTAAACCAAAATTGAAATTTTGACTGGCAGCAACTTATTTACAAAAGTAGATTAATATTTCACTTTTCGTATTCAACATTTAATTGCAACAAAAAAATTAAATTTTGATTAAAATGTAACAAGCATTTTTTTTTTATAAAAATAAATAGTTTCAAATTTAAAATATTAATTCGTCGTTACTGACAAGATGATATATTGAAGAATTAAAAGCAAATCCAAAATTAAATGAAGTTCCACGAGTTCTTTGTTTATACATAAATATCAACATTTAAATTATGACACATATCTGGAATTCGTTTGTAATAAATTCTTATTGCCAGTGGTGGTGCTGTTTTGTCCTAAAATTTCTTTCTTTCAAATAAATTGTTTTAAACAATTGAATGTTAACAATGTGATGTAACAATTTGGACAAATAAGAGTAACAACTTTCGTCTTTTCACCAAAATAATTAACAAAATGCGCTTATCAAGGCGATTCTTCCACCATAGAATGAATGACGGTCTGAAAAATACCCCTTTAATGATTGCCCGTTTTGTCAGATTGAATGGCTCCAACACAGGGTGGGAAATAAAATGGACGCCGTCGTCGCACGAGTTTCGGTGTCGGGCGGCGTTGCTTTGCATTGAAAATCGATTCGTCAGGCAGCAAAGTGCGCCCGCCGCGATATCAGAGCGCGCGCCGAGAAATAAATCTCCATAAATAAAGCAGACAGCCGAGTGTTGGTTGCAATTGCCGACGAGAAGTGGCTATTAACTCAGTCGCTCGCACAATCCGAGACATTACAAGTCCGGGGCCCATTTTTCCTCATCACCATCGGCGGGGGCAACAAACAGCCGCGCGCACCGCCAGCCTGAAATATCGCCTGAACGGACCTTTGAGCGCGTACAAAATACGTTATCTGGCCCCGTCCGTCTATTAAAGCCCTTTGTCGTTTTTATAGCGCAAAAAAAAATACAGTCGTGAAAATGCACCTCTGCTGAAATTTCACTTTTACCTGTTGACATTTTTTTGCTCTTTTATTGCGAGGAAAATATTGCAAGCGGATTCCAAATTGACTTTGTCCTTTGTTATTTGCTTTGCTCAAAGATAAAGATGTAATTTAGAATATGAAATATAGCGTCTGAACGATCTTTAAATTTGATATATTTTTATTTTCCAACCTTTTCTTGGAAATTGTCATAAATATTTTTTAATGAGACCCAACCTTGAAGAATTCATAAAGGGTCATTTTATTAAAATTTCGTCGTCAGAAGTTTCAATAAAAATTTTGGAAAAATATGCTTAAAAATTTTCAATTTTCCTGGAAAAAACGCCTCTTAAAGTTTAATGAACGATAACAAAAATCTGTTTTTGTCACGAGAAAAAATATATTTTTTTCTAATATTAGACAGAATAACCTAATTTCCACAGACCCATGAATGAAATTTAAAGAAAATTGGAATTAATTAAAAAGAAGATTTCTATCGGTAACAGTTCTTCTATGTTTGTCTGGTCGTAAATACAAAAATTGAGGCAAATATTGACCGACGCCCAAAGTTAGCCTGCTTGGAAAAGTTAGTAAAATATATTTTCAAATATTTTTGATTTCCTCAAAAGGTTTCGTCTGACCTTTCAAGTTTTATTTTTTGCAACAAATTTCTGGAAAATAACAATTCAAAAAAATGTATTTTTACTCCACACTTCACTCAATTTACAAAAGACGTTCCTTGTAAATAGAAAAGCTTGTTGAAATTCTTGCGGAAACACTTCACCTCTCTGGTGCGGTCGCGACAGCACGTTCCCGAAAGCTACTTGCTCGGCTGCACATAAATTTAATATTAAAGCAGAGACGCTGTCGACACAGCTGAATAAGAAAGAGGTGCATACATAATCAGAATTCATCACTCCATAAATCGCGCCGCTATAATCATAAAAATCAGGTCACACTTATGAAAAATTGCGCATATGCCTTTTTTATATACGGAGGGCGCCGCTCACTTTTAATTTGCAATAATTCGGGGCCGACGCGCGGAAAAAGTGAAGTCGTCCCTCGTAAAGTCTATTTTATGCCCTGGCCGACTGCTCGGCGGCCTTTCTAGGGCAATATATACGAGATGACGAGCAGAACAATGGGGCAATTAATTCCACGGCTGGCGCGGCTGCCAGGCCTGCCGGAGTAAAACAAATGTCAGAAAAGCCGGTAATAAAAACGTCAAATGTGAGCGGCAAATTATAATGCATTGTGGCGGCCGAGAAGGAGCCGCGCGCGCGCGTATTATATCATTGGCATTACTGCCTTTTTATATTCGGCCGAAACTTTTGTGCGTCAAATCTCTCCTGCCTGCTTCATACCAACGCACGTCAATATATGTATGCATGGGCAATTTTTTTTATACCCGCCATGAAAAATTACCCGGCGCACCCACGGACAGCCCAGCTTGCCACCCCTGACAGCGCCAATTTCCATTTTTTCCCCAGCTCGTGTGTCATTTGGAAAAAATAAATTCGCCCGTTTTGACACTCGTTTGCCCCTTTAGACTGTCAAACCGGGAATTTATTGTTGGACTACACGTGTTAAATTTTAACTGGCGCCGCGCGCGCTTCATTAACTCGTTTGCGGCCCCCACTGCGCGCACCATCTGCGAAAAAGATCAATTTCGTCAGCTTATGAGTAAAAGACTGTGTTTAGCTTTTACAAATTGAAAGCTTACCTTTGGAAGTTAATTTTTACAAATAAATGGTCCATATTGTTACTGAAGTTGAAGATAAAAATCATTAAAAATTATTTCAAATTTTGTAGACACTTCACTTTTGACCTAATTCCAAAATAAGTTTTAATTGGTTCTAGTTTCATGTAACAATGAAGGCAATCCCAGAATAATTACTCAACCCTCCAGTTAGGTTGTTAGATCGCCCTCAATATTTTTAAAATTACTTAAATTATTCTCGAAATGCAATATCCAAATATTATCAAAATCAAATTGCCGTAAAATATAAATTACTTGGAATTATATAGCAATTTTTTCACAAAGGTATTTTTGTCAGTATTTTGTGATTATAAAAGTTTATGAGTTGAACTGGATTCAACTGTTGCAAATTCGTATGAACGAAAAAGCTCGCGCATGCGCACTGTAGTTCTTCTTCTGCTGTTCAGAGCACAGCAGGTTCAGCGAGCGGCGACAGCAAAAAGCGATTGTTTTCATTTTCAAAACTGTCTTTAACGACTTGTAAAAAGAATTGTTTTGACGCAATGAATGAATAGAAAAGCTGAAAACAACCAGAAGTTTTTTAACTTATAATAGTTTTGCAAAAATCATTCACACGAGAGCCATAAAAATGTTTTGTTTACAGAAACAAAAATTTCCGTTAAATATTGTATGTGTTTATACCTGCAAATTATTATAATAATATATATATTTTAAAGTTGTAGTCATCAACATTTGATCGCTCTAAATATTTTTTAAATTATTATTTCATTATTTATTCTTCTCAATCGACACAACATTTGAAATTTTAGAATTAACTCATCTCAAAATGCAATATTTATACAATTATCATCAAAATCAAATTGTCCTAAAAAAATTAATTTAAATAATTTAAAATATCCATCAATATTGGAATGTAATATGAAAAGTTTCTGAATTTTTCTTTCGTGTGTTTCAGATCAAAGAACAAATGGCAATAGTATGACGTGAGCCGAGTGAGTCACCATGATGGAGAACGCGGGCAGCGTGGCCTCGATCCGGCGACCGGTCACGACGAGGTCGTACTCGGAGTACCAGTACCACTACCGCAGCCCGTCGACGCCGACGGCGGCGACGACGGCCAACGGCGTGGGCGGCGTCGGCGGCGGCCGCAAGGAGCGCGGCGGCTGCCGGTGTTGCCGCAAGTGCTGCTCGACGCCGGCCGCCTCCACCCTCGGCAACTTGGGCGTTTGCTGCCTCGTGCTCGGCTACACGGTGCTCGGCGCCTTCACGTTCATGGCCCTCGAGGGCGGCATTGAAGGGCGTGGACACATTTCTCAACAGGTGAGAACAACAGCGCTTTGATCATTATCATTTGGTAATTTGAAATCAAGCCGTGATTGCAATTATTGCAAAATTGATATATGGTTTTCAAAATTCAATTTGAAATGAAATATTATTAAAATAAAATGGTATTTTTTTCCATCTATTCAAAAACTTAAGTTTCTCTCGGTTTCTCTGAAACTTCGCGTATTTTTAAAAATTACAAATACATTTCTTATTGGCGATATAACGATATTTTAATTTAATTAACCTCAACCAATAATTTAAAAACTTGCAATTAATACTTTTTATTATCTGTAATTCTCACCTTAAAATCAAATTTTTCCTATTTTATATTAATTTTTTTTTTAATTTGCAATCTATTTATTTGATGCTGTTTTTTTTCTGATCTAAACAAATATTCACATAATTTTATTTTTGGCTCTGGAGAGTTTATTTTTAAAAAATCTATTTAAATTCAAGTTGAAATTTTGAACTCTACGAATATTTTTAATTTATTAATGTTACATAAATAGTTAAATAAATAAAGACAACATGGAAAATCTAACTGGAAAACTGAATTAAATGATAAATTAAACCCATCTCGTTATTCTTCGTGACGTCAAAGTTGAGAAACATTCAAATAAAATGTGCAGTGCCTAAAATTTTTCTTTCATTATATTTTGTTGCAGCAGGCCCGTCACGAGCGAGTGGACAAAATGGTGAATGAAATGCGCGTTCGGACAGTGGAGCGCCTCTGGACGATAACGGAGGCGCTCAACATTTTGTACAAAGACAATTGGACGCAGCTGGCGAGCCACGAGGTCATCAAGTTCCAAGACTCGCTGGTGCACACGCTCAAAACCGGCGGCGGGGGCGGCCAGAACTACCGTGGCGGCGGCGGCACCGGCTCCCTGGCCCTCAGCGGCCCCCACGCCAATCACCGGTGGACCTTTTCCTCCTCTTTTTTGTACTCGCTCACCCTCATCACCACCATCGGTGAGTACTTTTCTTGATTTATTGCCATCAAGTAACAAAAATATTTCAAAATTCTTGAGATCATTTCAAAGATTAAATTCTTTTACAACCTTTAACGCAAATAGAACTTCAATTATTAGTAGAAATCCAATGAATTAAAATTTAGAGCTCATTTTATTAAATTAAAAATAAATGACAAATTTATTTCGTCTCTTCGACTTGATATATTTTAAATAACAAAATTCTTTAAACACATTTACAATTAATTAAGGATTAATTGCTCTGAACAATAAGATTTTTTTTTCATTTGACAAAACAAATAAAACGTGAGTTTCGCAATCAAACCCTTATTAACAGTAATTGCAATTCGCTACAAGTGCTTACGCTCGGCAAACAGCGCGAGAAAGAGCAGATGTGGAGCAAAAAGTAGTACACCAACTGCTGTTGATTTCGCCCTCTCGTTTCTCTCTGGCTCCGTTTTTTCTTTTTTTTTATCCTATTTTATACGTTTTCTGCTTCGTCTCTCGCTCTGCCAGGAACATGTTTTAAGAATTTTATTGGCCGGCCGTGCATAATTCAGGCGCGCGCAACACCAGGTCCATGCGCATGCAAATTTCATCATTCGAGTGGTTTTATGCCTTCTTTTATTCGCACCGGCACTACATTATGCATATCATGGAAGCCGTTACATTTGCATCTGATAATATAGGCGACGGACTGGCTTTTGAAATATAAAAAGTAGAGAGGAAAAAATTATAAGCCCACGCACCGAATTTCAATTCACTTTGCAGTTTGATCCAATAAACTAATAACGCATAGTGATATTGATTTGTGAGCGCTTTGAATTTTGGAAGCGAAAAAAAATTCAATTCGCAAAACGTATAACTTGGAAATGCTCCAAATCTACGTGTACATATTAAATTACAGAATTTTTTTCTGATTGGGTTTTTCTCAAATAACTGAATGTGTGTTGAATGGAGTGGCAAATGTTGAGTAAATTTTAAACAGCACCAAAATAACAGACAGAATTTGCACAAATAAATAAATCATGAATTTTTTGCTCCGCTGTAAAATGTAAACATTCGGGCAGCGAAGAAAAAAATGAGAGCGTTTCATTTGCAATTTTCATGAGTTACGAGAGAGAAAATGAAAAATTTAATATATTAAGGCAGCAGTCCGTGGCTGGCCCGGCAGAAAGAGCAGAAGGCGCGCGCAGTTTAACGCTGCGAAAATCGGCGTGTCACGTATTCGCATCATCCATCTTGCGTGCGAAAACATTGAAAACACATTATTTACATACGCGCGCGCCTAATGCGCCGGATCGATCAACGTCCCTCTAATAAGACGATTTCCCATCAAGGAAATCAGCCGCACGTGAAATTGAAAAACTACCAATCATGCGCCGCTCGCCGCCAATTTGCATCAAAGGGTGTCAATTTTAATTAGGCGCGGCGGCTACGAAATGATTGGCTGCCCGTTTATTTGCTCAGCCAAATTGGCTCCTGCCGTTTTTCCGATCTGCTTTTCGTTTGAGTGAAATATAAAATTATTAAAATTTGAAATAAATATGTGTTTAAATAGAATTTATTATGTATATAAATTACAATAATATTACCTAAAACATATAATTTATAAGTAAAACCGTCAAACAGAAAGGGTTGAATTTGAGAGGAAATTATTAACGATGACAATTTAAACGTGAAAGTTTCATCTTGACAAGCCAAAGGCATCAAACGGAATGATTTCTCTTAAAAGCTAATTTATTTCTCTGATTGAAAATACTATAACAACATAGTAATGAAATAAACATTTTAAAATACATTTAATGGAGGAATTACGTTCTGAGACGAGTGATTTTCTTTGGATTTAAATTTAGAATAATAAAAATAATTAAATATAAAACAAATAAATCGTATTGAATGTAGAATAGATGTAAAAGTAAAGAATCTAATTAAAAATTTTAATTTAAAGTGGTTTAAATCAATCTTGAAAAGATTTTAAATTTATAACAAAATTATTTTCTCTTCCTTTTTCTATCTTAATCACAATCACATTAGCCTTGCTGTCCGAAAAAACCTTTAATTTGCTTTTGTGTGGGGCTGTGTGACCAACTAATTCTCATTTAAAATATCTTTTGCGCTGCCATCCTGAACTGAATCTCTGATTTTTATGGTCCGCCTTTGACACTGACTTGCTCATAACTGGCTTTAAGTGGTCAGCCGACTTGCTGTTCGCCCCCGGCCATGTGCAAAAGTACTCGAGTTTCGGCGGTTTTCCTGCTCAGCACACGCACAACCGCAGATTTTGTAGACATACCAAACGCCCATTTTTGCGGTCGGCCCTTCCATGATCACGCATATAATCTCATCGCGTGTTCCCATCCGTGGAAATCATAATCAAAGACGAGGAGATCTTCGGCGTTCCCCGGAGACGCCACGGCCCAGTGCTTTTTTTTCTGATTCCGAACCCTCGACCAGAGATTTGTTGGCCCCGTGCGGGAGGTCACAGGTTGACTTTGAGCTATTCCGAAGTGCGAGGAAAAAGGAGTCATCAACATGAACCCCCGTTGCGCCAACACTAGCGAAGGACAGTGGGGGATCTTTGTGTTCCGCGCCGAGCACCAGTTTCCACTTTCTGTCTTTCTTTCTCGTCCGTCCCCCTTTCTCTTTCCGGCTTTTCTGGCGGAAAATTTGGCCGCGTTTTTTTTTCTCTTTATTGAAATCCTCCGTTTTCTTGCCACAAAATTCACCCTCGTCAGAGCACAATCTCGGCCTTGTTTATTTTTTGCCCGACTCATTTTTCAATGGAGTATGACAAATAGGAAGAGCTTCAGCGAAACGAGCTTGCCCGGGCAGATAATAGGACAGTTTTATTGCTGTCGGACCTCGTCATTTTCCACGTGCTCAAATTTTATCAAGTTGTTTCCGCTTCGATTTCATTGTATTTGCGCCCTTGTGTGTGTATTTATTGGAAAAAAGGTGTTTATTTCGCCTCCGATGTGTTTGTCACTGTCTCTCTGGAGTTCCTCCTTTTTTTTATTATTTTCTTCTTCGGACCGGAAACTCATGTTCGCGCACCCTTCATAATGTCAGACCCAGAGAGACCATCCATTTCGATTTGGCTGCCGCCCGCAGAAAACCTGAATGGCGCTCGTATTTTATCACGAATATGCAAACTTGGAAATGTGTAGACTATTCACGTTCAATCTAGAGTAATCCAAAAACTTTTCACTTCAATTCTGGGTTATGCAACAAGCGCAGCACGTACGCGAATTCGGTTGCCTACATTTCTTTCCACGTTAAATTTTGTTACTTTTTTACTTTGGAAAAGTGCTACTTGTTAATTTAGGAAAAAGAGAGATATTATTTTTAAGCATCAAAAATTTAAAAATCAGTTGATTGCAATTACCTTCAAATTTTGAATTTTTAGTTCATTTGAAATTATAATTGTAAGCAGAAAAGAGTTGTCAACTCCGTGATCGTCTTCTGCAGGTCTTCTGGAGTGCAAATTTTCTCACCTGCAATCTCATTTGAAATCAGAATTTATTTTACCAGTACTTCTAATCTGCAAGATTGATTTTTAGTTCATAATATTCCCACTATCAATAATCTCGTTCCCACAATTCATTCAATAAATCCTCCTTAGAGAACATTTTCAAAATTATCAAATTAAAAAATGTCGATATTATATTCTCAATTGAATACACATTACTTATTATAAGTGTATCATAAAACTGAAAATGCATCTTGATTAAGGGAGAAATAAATTGGAAAAAAATCATTAAGTATGCTGAAAATTCTGCATTTTGTCTAACACAAATATGTTTTTATGATTTTACAGCTATAAAATGTGTGTCGGCGGTAACAAAATTTCTATAGCTTTTTTGGCCGTCGTTTTGAAAGCTTAGTTCCTATTAGTGCGCTTGAGCAGCATTTTCAATGTTATTAAAAATGAATACAAATTCGCAGCAGGCGCACCTGAGTCCGGTGGCGACAGAGTGCCCAAATGAACATCGAGTCTGAATTGACCGGTGCCCTTTCACCACCCGAAAAGCTTTCTGCCGTTGTGGGAAAATTTGCAAACAGCGGGGCCAAAGTAGCTCTCAGATCTGCCTGCTTTCCATTTAAACGGCGTAAAACAAATGCAAAGGCACAGAGCGCGCGTGGGCGAAATATCAAATTCGTGTGTGTGCTCAGAGGACTAGAGATAAAACGAAAATTTGTGGGGGTGAATCAGATCTGTGCCGCGAATTTAATACACGCACACGAAACTTCACACATATACCTGCGTGGCAAACAAAGCGCGCGCGACCGTTTTTGCATAATACGCCGACGCAAACAAAGCAGAAAAGCCTCATTGTTGTATGTTTTGTGTTTAGAAAGTCGAGCTGCTGAAGAATTTTCGTTCGTTCCAGAGGGAGAGAGAGAGTTTCCTCCGTTGAGAATTCTTACTTTTAGCAAAAAAAGAATCTCGTCTGATTCTGCAGGCCTGCAGCTACACGGGGTCCCATTCTCCGCCGGTGCTTAATGTCTTACATTAGATGCGTTTGCCTTAAGTGCAGCCCTGTTGTTTCCTCCTCAGTCGGTTGAATTTTACGACTGAGCCGAAAGTAGTGCGACGCCATCTCACAAGGTTAGCTCCGAGTAATTACATTGTCCCTGCTGCTCTGACTGCAAGAACAGACAAAATAACATTAGCATTTTAATTAATGGCAGCAGGAATTTTTGATTTCTCAAAAGAGCGTCGCGTGCGCCCCGAATTTCAGCTTGATTAAAGCAAGCGCTGATGGATAATTCAATTGCAAGCAGTGCCGGCTGGCTGCGCGATTTTCTCTCTGCCACGAGATTTTCCGCGCAGGTGGATGAACAGCGGGTTTAACGCAATTATTCAAATTTATTGCGAAGTGTCTCTCTCTCTGTCTTCCCTTTTAATTGCAGTTAAATTAGAGCCTGGGACGTGATTTCCCACTCTAAATCTTCCTCGCACCAACTCGGAACGGCCAAATTTAATAATTCTCGGGT